CTGTACATGAGAGGTTAAGCTCCCCCTGGCGGTTTTACAAGGCGACGCCAGATAGTTAGTCACGTGACACACGTGATACCGCGTGATACCCTGGTGGGTGTGTCGCGGTATGCCGCGAAATACCTCACCCATTTTGAATGGCTGCATCTGTAATTGAATAAAGATTGTCCCTCAGCAGTGATCAGGATTAAAAACCGGATGTTTTCTGGTGACAGCTCAAATGCTTTACAGGAGAGGTTAAATTTTATTGGCTCCACCTGCCGGTTTTACAAGGCGATTCTGGATACTATTAACATAATCGAATTTGCATACGGTATGATGCGGTATACTGCGACACGCCCACTGTGTTATACTGCAACATACCCCGCTTGTTTTGAATGGCTGCACCTTTCTTCACAAACTTTTAAAGAAGAAAAATATTAATATAGTTGAGCTTTAAAGAATAAATTACTTGTTAAATTATACACTATAATGTTGTTTTGCAGTATGTTAAAGTCTTTATCATTTCTATTTTCATATATGACAAAAAATGGTACCTCAAATGTTTACATGGTACTGACCTGATGGAAGCCAAGATAGTCCTGTATGGTAGGTGATGCATAGAACACATATCCTTCAGCTGTGACAACCAAGACAAATCCATTCAGAGCCTAAAAATAAAAACAGGTATAGCATGTCAGTCAGCTGTGTCAGTTGGAATGTGATAACAGCACTAGCCTATTTGGCTTTTGAAAATATATCAACTTAGAAAAAATCACATTAATTTACTTATTAGCAACACTGACAATGATGATTCCTTTTTTGATTAGTATTGTTTAATACTAAGTTTAATACCACCCACTATTATGTTTTCTGCTTCAAATGCTTAAATCCTAATTCTTATGCAAAAGTGTTGTTAATGCTTGCCTCCAGGCAAGCAACAAGCCCAAGGTAGGATACACCCTGGACAGGACACCAGTCCATTGCAGGGTAGATAGACACAAACAGAGGCATGCACACACTCACTGTCACGACCGACATCCCTCCCTAGAGGGGGCTCCACTACTACCGTTCTTGTTTCTGTGATTAAGCTTCCCAGGTGTACCTTTTTAGGTTTATTATTTAAAGACTAGATCCTCCAGTCCTCGAGGCTCATCATTAGGGTAAGGATGTCGCAAGGCTTGCCTGGAACCAGGAAACCCTACGTCTGTCTCCTGAGGTCATCCCCGACAGCTCCCGCTTCCTGAGCTCGGGGTCTGGAGGATCTCGCCCTGTCACCCTTGGACCTCCATGTTTTGTCTCTGTGTGTTCCCCCCTCCCGGGGATTTTAACCTTTCTCGCTGATGGACTCTCGGACTGTGCCCTGACCTGCCTTTGGACCCGTTTGGATTTGGATGCAGTTCTTTGTCTTCCCCGTTCACTGTCTCATGGATTGTCACTATTATTTTGTGCACTATTAAACCCCTGTGTGTTCCCTTTCACCACGCCTCCTGTTTTCTCCAGCTCTTACCGCATCGCATAGGGTCTACTACAAGATCTGACACGGATCTCAGTCCGTGTTCGTGACACTCACACAAGGGCCCAATTTTCCAGGAAGCCAGTTAACCCACGAGCATGTCTATAGACTATGGGAGGAAACCAGAGCACTCAGAGTAAATCCATGTGAACCTGGCAAGAACATACAGGTTCTACATCATACAGGGTGCCTGGTCCAGAACTGAACCCAGGGCACCTGCACTATGAGACAGCAATGCCAATCACTGCACTTCTGTGCCACCTCTGGTACCAGTACTTGTACAGATGCAGCCATCCAAAGTTCGCGGTACAAACCAGTACCGCATGCATCTACCCACAAACCACTGCAGCATACTGCAGTAAGTGATTGGCTGACCAAAATGACAGACAGGGGCACTCGTGGTGCATTGGTCAGTAGTGAATAGATGTAATCATTTAATCACTTTACTATGCACGTTTTAATCTGCTTAGTATTGAATATTTATATGGAATTTTACTATATAAGGGAAATTTTAGTAGCTGGGCATAAAAAGAATAGAAGCATAATGCATCTGAAGGTCAAAAACGATATTAATTTAGGAACATATTATGTAAACTGTATATTGCTTGTATTGGTATTTTAAAGAAAAAACACACACCAGTATTCCATTTCTCCCTAAACATTTTAAGCATCAAAGTCTTACATGTGGTTATTTCGGAAACGTTTTTAGGTGCTCCTTCTGACCATATTACTGTACGTTTATATACTTTGTAAAAATTGATCGTTTTAAACTTATCTGCGAATATGCTTGTTATTGGATTAAACAAAAGTATACTTTTATAATTGGATGAATAGGGAATATGGATTTGCGTATCTAAATAAATTAATAATGGTATAAGAACATTCATATACTGTTTCACAAACAGTAGGATAAGTCTTTCCATTGATGTGTGTATGGCTGTTTCAGTGGATGTCATATGACTTGCCTTGGTGGTGTGATAGCTTAAGTAAATGATTTATAACCCTGAGATCAGGTGTTCAAACCCAGCTGTCACCATGAGTTTTCTTTTAACAAATAAACATTTCTTTGAAAAACTAAAATAGCAAATATTATTGGCATTATATTGACATTTTTTATATTTCTAAATATCACAACATGTTCATACTGTATGTACACAGCGGTACAGCAGGGTGTAAGGCGCAAATCCGGAGTCGGAAAGCCCTACATTAATGTTGTGCGTTTGCCTGGCACTGTGCGGTTTTCATCTCTCTCTCTCTGCTGGAGTGCTGGCTGTGCCGAATTAAACCGGTTTCACAGGTATTTTCAAAGTAAAATAGGGCGAGTCTTCCAATGAAAGACACTCCTACTTCCCCCACGGACACGTTTTCTTAGAAAAACAGATTCACAATGCGAAGCTGTCACTCTTCTGTGTAAAAAAATCAGTTTGAACACCATGTGTGCTGTTTTTAAGACGCTGCTGAGAAAAGTATAGGAATTTTCCTGCTGTCAGCAGTATTGTGTATATAGTTGACCCTTACCTGAATGAAAACAGGACATAAAGAAAGGGTTTCAGAAATCAAACAAAGCTTTATTCCCGTGCTTACAGTCTGGGTAATTGGAGGCTACGCTGTTATGCTTCTTATGGTGATATACAGGTTTTTCGCACGAAGCCATATTGAGCAGTATTTCTCACGGTGTGAATGTGTGTACACAGCAGTCCCCCCGGGTTCCAGTTTGTGCGTAATTACGCAACGATGAAAAACCAGAGGTTAAAAAAAAGAGAATTAGCTCACTGATAGTTTTATGTGGAAGCTGTGAACATTTTCACAAATCGTGGTCTTTAAAATGCATTTGATTTGAAGGCTTTCTTTGTTTCCCTTGCGAAGATATGAACAAAAAAATATTTGAGCGTGGTCAAACAAATGGCTTAAAAACGACATAGTGAAGGCTGTGAAAACAGTCACAATGTACTTTGTACACACAGCAAGTGTTTTCGTAACTCTAGGACAGTGGTTCTCAAACTGTGGTATGCGTACCAGCAGTGGTAGGCTGAGCGCCGCCAGCTGGTACGCCATATGATCCATAGAACTTTGTTGTGTGTGCTGAAAAATCGGGACGGTTTTCATATTTTCTATTTTAATACATGTCAAATATGCAACCTACGTACTGCGATACAGTGCGCGCTAATACTTCAGTGGACACAAGAGATACTCTTTAATTCTATACCACTCTATAGGAATGCATGCTACGGACGAAGTGACCAATAGTTGTTTTTTTGAATACAATCTCCAGCAAATAGGGAGGTAGAAGAATGTGCGTGATTTTGGAACAATGCCAATGTTGTAAACACAGGAATGCATAGAAATATGTGCTTCTAACGGTTGTAATCTTGTGAGCACAAGAAAGCATGATAAATAGAAAAATATTTAAGAACTGTTCTAAGTTAATTTGAGAAAAATACACAGAGCGTCTCTGCATTTCGCTCCCATGCGCATTAAATAAAAACTTAAAAAAATACGGAAATAAAAACGGAAACGGGGAAAAATGCAAGGTTGCGGATTGCTAAAGCAGGTAAGCTCCACACTATTTTTGAAGCATTTTATGTCCCTAAATTAATATCGTTTATGATCTTCAGATGTGTTATGCTCCTATTCTTTTTATGCTTAGCTACTAAAATTTCCCTTATATAGTAAAATTCCATATAAATATTCAAATGTGCACAGTAAAAAGGTTAAATGATTACATCTTTTCACTACCGACCAATGCACCACGAGTGCCCCTGTCAGCCATTTTAGCCAGTCAATCACATATCGCAGAACTTTGTGAAAAATGACAAAGCCTTCAAACGACTGGCATTTTAAAGATCGTGATTTGTGAACATTTTCACAGCTTTTATTTAAACAATATCTAACACCTGGTTGCATTTTTAGATACCCTAGTTTGAATAAAGCAGATCCCAGGTGTAAGCGAGTTCATAACTCGAGAATACATTATGCTACATTTTTTAAGCATCAGTCAAAGCGTTCTGAAGTCTCTCAACAATGTAAAAAATGTAACATAATATTGTATGGTAACTGCTTACGTACTCCCTGGGGTATGAGTACCCCCAATTGGGAATCACTGGTTTAGAAGATTTTACTCTGTGCCCATCTTTAGAGCATTTTGAGAAATGTTGCAAGGCAGATGTTTTATCAATAGCTGGTTTTAGTCTCTGGGTTTACTGGGGACATATCGATGTTAAACTGAGGAAGGAATACAACCCCCACACGCCAGACAGACAAAGGTGATAAAGATGATCGCGTATCTAAAGAAATTAATAACGATATGATTATAGTCGTGTACTGCGACAGGGCTGTGTAGCGCTGTTTCGCCTCTCTCTTCATGTGACTTCCCTTGTAGCCCATTGGTCTACGTGCATGATTACCCACTCACAGGTTGTGTGTTCAAATCCAGCTGGTGCTGTGACTTTTCTTTTAACAAACATTTCTTCGAAAAAATAGAATAGCAATATTATGGACAATCAATTGACTTTTATATTTCAAAATATCACAACATGATCGATTCTAAGTCATT